TGGTGTTCTTCGAAACTTCTGTACACCAGTCTTAGGAAGTAACCACTGGGAAAGAAAGCAGATAGAATGGTTCTTGAGTTTACACATTACTGAGAACAATTCTTCCCAGGAGCCTTGGGCAGTACAAAATGGTACAACCACTTTGGAAAACAGAATTTTCCCTCCTCGTCACATTGAAGATATTATTGCACTAGCTTTTCTAACTTACTTTGTTGATGATAAGTCAGCAGTTAGTAGTCCTTTGAAGAAAATCTGCTCTGTGTGGTTATTTTATTTTTATTTATTTATTTTTTAATTTATGTGTTCTCTGTGTAGTACAGTACAGGCTGGCCTTGAACTGGTTGTGTAGCCCATGCTGGCCTTAAACTCATGGTGATCCTCCTGCCTCAGCCTCTCAAGTGAAGAGATTACAGGCATGCACCACCACACCTGGTTATGTGTGGTTATTTTAAAGATTATTTAAACTATATCTGCTGTACTTAGATGTGGGTTTTTTAAATGTGTGTGTGCGTGCGCGTGCGCGCACACACACACACACACACACACACACACATATACCACTTGAAATTTGTTAGAATTAAATCTCTAGATTGTTGGTTTTCATCAGTTTCTGAAAAAGAGTGGCCCTTATCTCTTTAATTATTCCTTGACAATTTTAATGTGGAAATTCTTTGAGCTTCAGGTGACTATGAGAGTGCAGTACTCCAGAGATTTGCTAAACAAGCACCTGGGTGCATTATCAATGTTGTATCACTTTAAATTCTCACTTTGAGCTTTTTAATATCCAGATATTATTGTTCTTGTTACAAATCAAATTTTGAGACACTTGATTTTTCTTTGCAGTTGCTAATGTAGAGGTTAAGGTTGGGGATAGGAAGGAAAGAGAATGGCGAGTGGGTTTATTTCTGGTTTGCCATTGCATTGATTGAACTTAGACCCTGAGAGCCCCAATTTATAAGGAAAAGCACTCTTTAGAGCATTCCATACATAGAGCCAAATTTATGCTTTGTTATCCTAGAAACATAGTAATATGTGAAGGACAAAACTCAGATTTAATTGTTTTGCAAGTGGCTTTCATGGTTAGAAGTTAACAGTGTAATTTTACGTCTTTGAGTCCTCTTTACTCAGTCTTTGCGTTGATTCCTTGTAGCTCCTTCAGACATGCTTTTACAAATTTTAAAACTACTTTTCCAATAATTTTTAATTCTTTTCCTTTGGAAGTGTTGGCTCAGTCATTTAAGGAGTCTGTCATATTATCATATCAAACGGAATAAAATACATAGTTTTAAAGTTCATAATTTCTTAATGTTGACTCATGCCAGTGTTCCTTAAACCTGTTCAAAATGTATACCGAAATATAATAGTCATAATTACTGAATGAAAGTCAGAGCTCTTATAAATTTTAAATTTACACAGTTTTATCTTAATTCTTTTTCAGACTGATGTTTTACCTTAGGCAGTATTTGAGCATATGCTCAATGCAGAGCAGCAAACTAGTTGACGTGAATGCCATATTTGAGTGATTCAATCTGACTTTAAAAAAGCTGAAGTGTAATAGGGAGGTGACAGATTATGTGAATTACTACAATAATAAACTGTTAGAAAATTTTACATTACTTTGAGAAGGAAGATAAATTCATAGTGAAATATAATTTATTTAGAATAAATGATTAAGTACATCTCTAGAGATATATTTAAAGTTTGTTAAGTTAGAAAACCCAAGTTATCTCATTTTTATTTAAATGTCAGATGCATTGCTCTTCTAGGATGCCATCTTATAAACTTGACAACAATAGAGTATTTTCTGTCATTGGACCGGAACAGATTTGTTTGAACTTATACAAGGAGAGGCATAGAAATAAAATGCTATTGTGTACTATTTTAAGATTTAAGTCTGTTTAGAACTTGATAGGTTTAATTTCTGTCCCATTTTGTTTAGCTGCCTATCTACTTTTCCATCTGGCTATTGCTGTCAGTAGACTGACGCTTCTAAGTTGAGGGCAGAGTTTAAGTGGAACAGCATAATACACTGGTACTTGACCTATTGTGGCTAAACCAATAGTGCTGTAACATATAGCACTTTGGTCACATCCTTTATACAGTTGGCTAGAGCTTTATATACTTGATTGATTCCAAGATAGACATTTATTTTTCATGATTTATTTTCCTGAAATTGGAATGTCTTAACAATTAAATGACATTTTAGAGGTACTGAGACTAGGTGGCAGTCCTGCCATGGGTTTTTATAGTTTTGGAAATGTTCTAATTATACATTTCTAGCAAAAGACTTGTATCTAGAATATGTTAGGAGTTCCTGTATATAAATATTAAAAAGACAGTCCAATTAAAAGTGAGGAAAAACTGGATGCATCACAAAAGAAAATATACAAATGGCCAATAAATATATGAAGAGATATTATTTTACACTTATCAAAAAGGCTATAATTAAAAAGATTATAGAGCTCTCACACATTTTTAGTGGAAGTATAAAATGATACAATTATTTTAGAAGACTTTTTGGCAATTTTATAAAGTTAAACATATCCATGACCCACTAGTTCCCCTCAAAGATGTTTATATAATGGAAATGAAAGCATATATTCATAAAACCACTTATATAAGACTTTATATTAGCTTTATTTACAATAACTCACATTTAGTAACTACTTTATTATAAACTTTCCCCCAAATTTTTTGTATGTTGAAACCGGATCACCAGTACGATGGCATTACAAAGTGAGGAACTTGGAGGGTGATTAGGTCTTGAGAACTCTGTCTTCATAAATGAGATTAGTGCTCTTATGAAAGAGACCTCAGAGAGTTCCCTTGCCTTTTGTCATTAAAGGACACAGTAGAAGGCTATCTGGCTGAACTACTGAGTAGGCCCTCACTAGACTACCAATGTACCAGCATTTTGATTTTGGACTTTCCATCTAAACTGCCCAGATGGTATTTCTGCATCCCAAATAGACTGAGATATTCAAATATTCACCTGTAGAAGAATGGATAAACAAATTGCATTTATATTCTTAGAATTCTACTCAACAATAAAAGAGAGCGAACTGTTGATATGCTCCTAGTGTAGATGAAAACCAGAAACTTCAAATTGATTGAGAGAACCCATGTACAAAGACATACATCTGTGTGATTCTGTGTGCTCAAATTCCCACTGTAGGCAAAAGTGATATATTGTGATAGGAAGCGGAACAGTGCCTGCCTCTTTCTGGGAAGGATGATGAGGATCGACTGATGAGACGTTTCAGAAATACACTGAAATGGAACAGTGGAGCATACATCTGATGTTTGTGACTTCCTCCTTGTCAGAGGAATGAGCTGAACTCCCTTTATCTTTGTAAAACAACAACCAAGTACTTTATGGGACCTAAGAAAGGAAAATACCAATGAACAGGATTTGCTTAATTTGAAAACTATACGAGTGACTTTGACCTTTATGTAGTATATAGAACATTTAACGGGTAAACATGCAGATTGTATATAACTCATATTGTAGGAATCAGAAATTGAATTAGGTATTTAATAGTTTTTTTTATTAGGTGGGTATTATGATAGATCTCTTATTTGTATTTTGTAATTCTTTACTGTTAAAGTTTGTAATTTTAAACTTTTATATCATAAGTAACTTTATATTTTCACACCATATTTCAGAAGCCAGAAGAGAGAGATGCAGCATTATACTTGGGCATTTATACATTACCATCTAAGTTATAGACAGATTAAGTTCAAGAAGATGGAGGGGAAAAAAAAGGCAGACCCAACTGTGTGTTGTGTAGCTTACAAGCTAATGAATTACCCATATTGTTCCTTTAAAATGTTAATATGACTTTTCTGTTAGAGCTCATCTAACCGAATGAATATTGAGCTTTTGAAATAATGTGTTTTATTGTTCAAAGTAGTAGTGTTACATTTCATATTTCCTATGTGAACTTGTTCAATAACCAAAATAGAGAGCAAATGATTATCTGGGGGAAATTTTAAAATATATGGAAATCTAAACTTTTTCTTAACTCAGCTGTGAAATGAATATGAGAACAGCTAGCTCAATAGTTTGGGATTACCAGTATCAATGTTCTAAAAACATTTACTACAAAATGTACTACTATGTGATGAATCAGAAGTACAATACTGGAAATTTTCAGAGAATTCTATCAAATACAAGCTCTCACACACATCTTTCATCTCCTAAACTTTACAAGCAGAATGATATTCAGTGTGTCTATAGTGTATTGCTCCATCTAGTTAGAGGGGTTAGATCATAACTGATAAAATATGCTAATCAACTTTTGACTATATATATTTAGAAAATTTGACAGTTTTCAAATGCTGAAAGCAGCTCTTCAGAATCCTAGATTATTTTGGGGAACATCTCCTGGAATACAGTTGAGATAATATTAGTGTATTTACTAAAATAAACTGTTGGCTTACACTGATTTCTATCCTCTAAAATCTTCAAGGCAACTCTGAAGTTTGATGACATTTTTCTAATTTTATTGAAGCATAAAAGCTGAAAAAGAGTGTTGTATGAAGTACCAGGATAGACTAAGTCACCCATTATAGAGATCTATCAAGCCGTAACAGCAGTTTCTTTTCAGATGACCTTTGATTTTTAATAAAGTTTCTTTTTATCGTAAAGTTTTCCTTTAATAGCATTTCAGAAGTCAAGGATTAGTGTGGAAGATGCTAAGTGCTAATTATATGAAGATAAATTATGTATTAATACACATACATACAAACACACAAATTATGGACTCTTTGCCTTTTTAGCAGACAAAGGAAAGATCCAAGCTTTATAATTTGTAGTTGTAGAGCAGTTTTATTTAAAAATAAACATTTTTAGTTTAAGACACTAAAACTTTTTTTTCTCTCTGAGTTTATTGATACATTTTAGATATACAGTACAGTTTAAAATTATTTCAAAGTCTATTTCAGATTCTATTCACATTGAATATTTTTGATTTTTTATTATCCATGTTTTTTTGAAGATTCGTCCCATCAGATGAAAAGAAGAAACAAGGCTGTCAGCGAGAAAATGAAACTCTGATACAGAGAAGGAAAGATCAGATGCAGCCAGGAGGCACTGCAATTAGTGTTACTGTGCCTTACAGAGTAGTAGACCAACCCCTTAAACTTATGCCTCAAGACTGGTAAGATAATCTTAATTTTTTTTTTTACCATTCATACATTTTTGGTGTATTGTTGATTTTTTAAAAACTTGCGTGAACTAGTATCAAATTTTATCATGAGATATATAGGAACTGTCCTTGAAAACTGAATATATATAGATACAGTTTGGTTATCAGTAATGTTAACATCTAGTAGTACCTAACTGAACTAATATTTTAGACAGCCAAACTTTATAAGAAACACTCTTCTACAGAATCGCAGACTGTGGAAAATTGTTTACATATTTATTCTGGCTTAGCTTTTAGGAAGAACAAACAGACTTCAGGTTTTCTAGTAAGAAATGATAAGTGATGGCATAGTTTTTATTGTATGAGTAATTTATTATAGAGAATAACATCTTCAGCAGCTCTTACCATTATGTAATATTTTATTGTATTAATATTTTAGCAAAATAATAAGCTGTTTATAACATACAGTACTTATAAATCAGACACATGAATTATCATGAATTTTCATTAATCTAAGTTGGACCAAAAAATTGAAGTCTGAGAGTTTCTTTGTGTTGTAGAGAGAATGCATACATGGCACTTTGGATGAAATTTATCTTTGAAGTAATTAATAGTTTTCTGACTTTAAGAAGTGAGGTCATTGAGAATATTAGTATGCTAAAGATTTACAAAAATAATACAGGATTTTTAAAATTATAATTCTTTCTAGGGGACTGGGAATTTAGTTCAGTGGTTCTGCCACCTGCCTCAAAAGCACAAGGCCCTGAGTTTGATCCCTGGTGTCCCGCCCCCCCCCCCCCGCCAAGAAAGCAATATAATTCTTTCCAGGACTTAATACATACTTTAAGTAATACATAAAATGAGTGACATGAGTATTTCAGATATTAAGCTTAAAATCAAGTGAGAAAGCATACTATTTGTATTATATATTTGCAGCAAATCATTATGGGTAGAAAATGATAATGCAGACAGTGTATATATGTACCATCAATGTGATGTAAATATGGCCGATGTGTATTAGATTCCCTGACCATTGTTGTCATAGTTTAGGGTTAATTTCCCCTATTTTCTTTTAATTACTCTTTCAACAATTCTTGGGGGTGGGGTAGCATTTGTATTATTTTGCTCCCCATTAGAATCAGGATGACCTCTGTGACATAGATCCCCTTTATGTGTAGTGGACACCCTGGTTTTTCAATGACTGTAGGCTATAAATTACACACTGTAAAATTTTGGAATTATTTAATGCAGTGCTCCATTACTAAGGATGGTTTTAGCAATTTGGAGTATGTATCCCATGAAAGGGGGAAATTTACCTAAGATTTAATTCTAGCCTAAGAAATCTTGAATAGATTAAGAACTTTAAAATTTATGTTTTTCTCAGCAGCTTTGATAGTTGCTGGAGGCCTTTTACCTGAATAGAAGGTAATGCTGGTTTAATGTTTTGTTCCATGTGTGGAATTTTCATCTAAGGCAGTGATTATCAAAGTGAAGTCTGCAGACTTTCGGACATTTCAATCTCTGGCCCTCCTCTCTCCTTCTTCTAATATACCCATATACATATTTCCTCATCTGTAAAATGAGGGTATAATAGTATTCACCTCAGAGATTGCCTCAACAGTTCAGTGTGTTAGCATGAGTAAGGTGTAAAGTGCTTAAAACAGCACGGGCCCATAGTAAATGCTCATTGTAAATGTTAACCATTGTTGCTGAGGTTTTGTTCCCATTTTAGTTGTAGGCTTAAATTGTTTATAGCAGTACTTTGTATAATTTCTCAATTGAACTAAATATTTTGCAAAATAATGAGAGATGAAAGTGTAGAAAGAGATATAGCCAGTTACTTTAATACACAAATTAACTTAAAGCATTTAGGGTGAATGAAATAGTTGTACAATTGAGAAAGTTATATAAATTGAAATGGTTTTATACTCAGATTTCTAACCAAGTAATCAGAAGAACTCAAAAATAGCCCCTGGGGTTTCATAAAATAGTTATTTAATTATTAAATAGTTATTAAATTAAATAATAATTTAATGTTTTACTTAATACAAAATATTTAGGATGTACTTGAATCGTAAATTACTTCCTTAAAACCATCTCTGTCAGTTAACTGATCAACTGCTGTTCCATATTGGAATTGAAAAATGAGCCCCCTACTACACCTTTCAATAGAAAAGGCTAAAATGATCATAGAAAACTATTATGTATGTCATTTATGTTTGAAAGATTTAATTGCAAAAAACAGATATATGGAAATTGTGGTAATCAGTACTGTGCTGTACTGATAATGTATTGTAATCTTTAATGTATTTACTGTGTTTGTCTCACTAGAAGGATTGATAAGGAAGCTATACCACGTGAATACTAAATGTGGTACTTTTCTTTGGGTTTTACTGTAACTAAAGTGAGATATTCTTCCTCTGTCTCTCCCCACCCCTCTTTTACTTGTAGGGACAGAGTTGTAGCAGTTTTTGTGCAGGGTCCTGCTTGGCAGTTCAAAGGGTGGCCATGGCTTTTGCCTGATGGATCACCAGTTGACATATTTGCTAAAAGTAAGCTTCTCTACATATTTACTCTTTATCCAATATAGAAAAGTTTCCTAAGAGCCATATGTGACTGCATATCTGATGAATATACTAAAGGATTTTGAAATTAACATATTAGCTCTTAAGCGCGTGTGAAATATTTTTAAAGCTTTTTTGTACATTAATATTTGCCCAGCCTTCAACATTAATAATTAAAAATCATAACTGTTGCCTGTTCATTCATTTTTATTAAAATTGATAACTAGTTTTTAGACAGGTTGACTTTTTTTGTCCAGAACCGTGTAGCAGTAACGGTAAATGCCTTGTGATGTGTATCAGCTAACCCTATCATCTGTAATGATTATAGTATAATTGACTTTTTCTTTTAATTCTTTTAATTGATCTCTGCTCAAGTGGTCTGTCTTTAGAGAGTCTTTCTCTGATCATCCTGTTTAAATTGTCATCACCTCCTCTCAGTTGCTCTCAAAGCTATTTTACCTCCTGCCTGTAACTGTTTTATTTTCTTAACAGGACCTATTGTTGCTTGATATTATCTAATTTTTATCGTTACTGTAGGTCTTCCTGGCTTTGAATGTAAATTCCACAGCAAGAAATGCCTTTTCTGCTTTATTCACTTTTGTGTTCTTAGCACGGAAGAGTGTATGGCACAGGAGGCTTTCAGTGAATATCTGCTGAATAAATTTTTTCATGCAGATTATATCTTTTGTTTAGTATATATTGGCATAACTGATAGAACAAAATAGATTAATTTAGCCTATTTGCTGGGATATGCAACTGCTGTTTGATTGGATTACCAATTTAGAATAGTAACATTAGTAGAATTTTTAAAAATTATTCTCATAATTGGATGTTTATAAGAAATGATACTTCTAGCTGTTATGAGTATAGATTGCACTACTGTGAGATCCACGTTTTTTAGTAACCTGCTTAATTTATGTAATTTTTTTATTAGTACATGGTTGTAGTACATATGATCACATTCGGTATGGGGAGTTGATACATGTACATAATACATCTTAATTCTTTTAAAATCCCCTTCCACTCCTCTTCCGTCTCTTTGTGGCAAGAGTGGTGCTCCACTGTGTATAAATACCACATTTTCTTTATCTGCTCATATGTGGTTGGACAAATAGACACTTCCAAGATGTAGCTGTTGTGAATTGTGCTGCTGTAAACATGGATGTGTATGTTTCACTGTAATGTGATGACTTTAACTCTCAAGAAGATAATTTGAGGGAGAATACTGGGTTGAAAGAATTTCTTGTTTTAGATTTTTTTTTTGTTTGTTTGTTTTTGTTTTTGTTTTTTGGCACTGGGGATTGAACTTGAGTCCTTGCATCCTTTTAGGTTTTTGAGGAACCTTCATACTGATTTCCATAATGGTTCTGCTAGTTTACATTTCCACCAGAAACATAAATGGGTTTCATTCCCCTTTCCTCCCAGCCTGCACCAGCACTTATTATCTGATTTCTTGATGATAACCGTTCTTTCTGGAGTAAGATGGAATCTCATTTTTGTTTTAATTTGCATTTCTGTAATGACCAGAGGACATTTTTAAGTTGAATGTTTTAACAGTTGAACATTTCTTCTTGTATTTATTGGCTGTTTGTATTTCTTCTTCTGAGAAGTATCAGTTCATTTCACCTGCTCATTGTTTTGATTGGGTCTTTTATTGGGAAGGGGGGAGTCTAGTTTTCTTGAGTTCTTTATAGTATATTCCGGATGTTAGTTTTCAGTCTAAGGAATAGCAGGCAAATGTTTCTCTCTGTATTGTGGACTGTCTCTTCACTCTTTGGCTGTTTCTATACAGAAGCTTTTTAATTTGATATGATCCCATTTGTTGATTCTTTTTGTCATTTCTTATATAATTGTCCTGTAAATCTCTAGGAATACTCAGTATTGAAGGGGGAGGAGATCAGCTGTGTAAATTTACAGATAATCAGCCTTGTTTTGGCAGCTTTTAAGACATGCATTCTCTAGATGATTAACATGCCTATAAGCAGAACTGAGCAGGCATCTGACCCATACATTTAAGGTAATAAAGGAGACAGATAGCAAATGAGGCCAAAGCTTTGTTCTGCTTTTATTTACCTAATGGACATCTATAGGCCCAAGTGATGCGTCACTTTATTTTTGTTTTTAAATAGTGAAAATATCTTTTAAGTCACAGACTGCCTTAGGACAAAACACAAATCACGCTTTCAATGAATAACAGGTTAAGGGCCTAAGAATTTGTTCTCTGTCCCTGTGGTGGTCTCTGACTGTCAGTGCCAGCATTCTTGCATGAAACTGTCCAGGTTTAAAAGTTTTAATCTTTCATTCTTCTCCTGTCTTAATCTGTTTTTAAAAACAAATGTTACTCACTTTATAGCTCATTATTTCTGATTAATGCACATTATTGAGTATCACACAGTCGGTAAATAATTAAATATGTAAATATTAAATATATGTAGGGAGAATGAGAATTTTAATGAAAGCAAAATGTCAGTGAAAGAAAATAGCCTGTTTTACATACTTGCTTTTTGTTGAGTAGTGTTGTAACAAAAATGATTAGAATGTCTTTAAAGTGGTAATCTTTCTGAATTTTGTTAACACTGTTCGAATTGTTACTTTTCCAAAATCACTAAGAGCTTTGAGAATTTTCTTTTAACAGTAATCACTGGTTTTCTTCCATGAATTGTTCTTTCTCTTCAACCTACTTTCTCTGTGGGCTCCTTTCTGCCACCATTTTAAAATACCCTTTTGCCCTATGTATTAAACAACAGAATAAAGCCTTTGGACTCAACCCTTTCTCTCTGGTTACTTCTCTTTTTCCTTTTTGAAAAGAATCCTTTCCCCAGGTTCACTTTCTATTTAGTTCTCAGTTACCTGGGGTCTGACTCTTTTTCTCACAAACTGTTCACACCAAAGTAACCAGTGACTCAGGTATCTGGTAGTTTTGACTTATTAGAATTTGACTCTGTTACTTACTTTTTTTCTTTTAAAAAATACTGTTTTTCAAATACATGCTGATGCACCTATAAGCAGTCTATAAAGCAGCTGTCAAGATGGGCATGGTGGTGCTGTAATCACAGCACTTGGGGAGGCTGAGGCAGGAGAATTGCTGTGAGTTCGAGGTCAGCCTGGGCTATGTAGTGAGCTCAAGGCCAGCCTGAACTACATAGGGAGACCTTGTCTCAAAAAAAAATATTTTTTTTTACAGAATGTTTATTTGTATTAGAAACCCCTGATTAAATGATAACAATAGTAAAAGTCAGATGCTAGTTAAAAAAACTAAAAAATTGAGGGGAAAAAGCTAAACATTTATATATGTACTGAAGAACAAAGCTGTACTGATGATAAACTGATGACATTATGATAATAAACTAGCTGGGATAATTCAACTGGCTTGTTAGGGTTAGAGAAAGATTATAAGCTTATTATCTGCCCAAAACCTAGTTAACTTTTAAAAGTGAAAATTATACCATTTCACGTTCTTGTTCTAAGCTGATTTATGATAACATTTGGATTAAAATTCACAGGTCTTACTCAAAAAACCAAAAAAAAAAAAAAATTGAGCCAGGCATGGTGGTGCACGCCTGTAATCCCAGCACTCGGGAGGCTCAGGAGGCTGAGGCAGGAGGATTGCTGTGAGTTCGAGACCAGCCTGGGCTAAACAGTGAGTTTCAGAGTAGTCTGAACTCCATAGTGAGACCCTGTCTCAAACCACCCCCCCAAAAAATTCACGTCTTACATAAAAACCACTGCCTACAAAAAAATTCACATTGTTCATAGGTCATTCAAAAATTGTTCTCATCAGTGCCTTTGTGGCAATTGTTCCTTCTGCCTGGAATTTTCTCCTAACTCTGTAAGACATGATTTTTAGTTGCTGACTTCTAGGTTACCTCTTCTAGGCCTTCCCCAAACTAAAATATCTAAATTAACTCCTCACACTTACTGTTTTACCTCCTTAGCCTGCCTTATTTTTCTTCAGTACTATTTATACTGTATGAATATTGAATATTTATCTCAAGTGATTCTTAGAGTATAAGCTCCATGTAGTGGTAAGCTTGTCTTGGTCGCTGCTCTGTCCTTAATAGTTCATGATGTATAGTAGGCACTTGCTGAATATTAGATGTAGTTTTCATTGCAAATTTTTCTTCCCCCCTTCATTTTTTTTTTACCAGCTCCTATTAGTTCTCATTTCCCAATCTTCTTCTTGCCATTCTTACATCTTCTATCCAAAGAAATCTCCCTTTACCCTCCAGATTATTTAATTGTGGCAGACTCCGCTAATGTTTTGTAGGATTCTCCATCTCAGTTAAAAACCTGCACACTTTTAGTTTGTCCTACAAGCCCAGCCTGCTTTGAACTCTGTGGCCTTACCGCTTATCCCCTATCTGTGTCAGTTTACATGATGTGTTTCTGTTACATATTACATTTCTTCATTTCCTAGACTAAAGCATATTCCCTTTGTGCATACTCCTCTTGAGTCACTTTTGTTCTTGACTTATTTCTTACTTCTCCTTTAGGTCTTAAATTATACGTCACTATCTGTACAAGTCTTCCAAATTCATTTCTGTATCAGTAGTGGCAAACTTATGGCACATATGCTACAGTGGGCTGTTTGTGTCATTGAAAGCTTTAAAAGGTTTGCCATCACTAGTCTATATGTTATTGTAATACTTCATTATACTATATTTAAATAGTTCTTTTCCTATTATCCTTAACTGAACCACATATAAGTTACACAACCTTTTCATTTCATTCTGCAGTGCCTAACTTGTATAAATTCTCACTGAATACTTGTTGAATTGAGTATTTTTGATGATATTATGCTGCTTCTATTCAAAAGATTACTTTATTAAGCACTTTCATTTGTAGAAGAAAGATTTCTTTTTTAAAAATTTCTGTTGATATCTGTATTGGGTATATATTTTTATTTTATAAAATATTTTCATAATTTGGTTTATAATTTGAGTAAAAATATTATTTTTTCTCTGCAACCCATATAGTTAAAGCCTTCCATCTGAAGTATGATGAAGTTCGTCTAGATCCAAATGTTCAGAAATGGGATGTAACAGTATTAGAACTCAGCTATCACAAACGTCATTTGGATAGACCAGTTTTCTTGCGGTTCTGGGAAACATTGGATAGGTAATTCTGATCTTAAAATATGCTTATTGATGTAATTTTCTTGTCTTAGTTAAATTTTAAACACCTTCCAGTTGCCGATAACATTTTGCAGTTCTCTTCATTACTAATTTGATGTTGATTTGTCACAAGTATCTTTGATATATTGGATTGAGAAATAGATGGATTGTGCCTGCCTTACAAGCACAAGGTTTCAAGTTTGATCCCTGGTACCAAAGAAAGGAAGGGAGGAAGGGAAAAGAAAAAAAAAGGAAAAAGACAGAAAGAAATAGATGGAGTGTAAAGGTTTACGCCTGTTAGAAAAGAATACTGAGTCAGAATATAGTTAGTCTTGGTATTGTGGTCTGCCTGTAATGAACATTATGACCTTTGGAACCTCATTTCCTATCTGTCCTTATGTTTCACAAGCACTGTAAGGTCTCTGACTCTGGATTTATTTGGATTATAGGAAGTTCATGAAAAGGAATTTAAATTTTAAATTTATTTTTATTACTAGGATAAATAGAATTCTTAAAGTCCTTTACAATAATAACAGCTTTGTAATTGTCAAATTTAAGAACAGTATATGATCATAATTAATATTAAATTTATTGTTCTCTTTGAAGTGATCCTTTAAGAATCTATTACTTTCTTGTACGTCTCTCACTGGATTTTACAGGTTTCCTCAGTCAGATGTGATCAGGATGACCTAATATGAATATAACTGAGAGTATGTTAAGGAGAAACATTTACTTTTCTAGCGAGAGCTCTTAGGTTATAGAATTTAATAAAAGGAATATTTTCTTCTTGCTACTTAAGAAGTCCTTCATTTTCAAAGGTTACAGTATCAAGTTTCCAGTTTTTTTAGAAAATCAAATATCTTGCTTCACTGTTAAGTTTGAAGAAACGTCAACTTATTTTTACATGTAATATTCTAAAAATTCTAAAATTCTGTAATCAATATAACCTATTATAATATTGCTTTTCAGGTACATGGTAAAGCATAAATCCCACTTGAGATTCTGAATGATTTGGTTCCTTTATTTCTGAAAGTCAGAAGAAGCATGGATATACCTTGATCTAAAGACTGAGATTCAAGCTTTATGAATTTATCAAGAACTTAACAAATGAAGAAGGTTGCAAATCAGTCTTTTATAAGACCTTATTTGATGCTTTGTGCTTCAAAGGGATGATGCCTGTCATCATATAAGCAAACTTTGGCTTATAACTATTTTTTTAATATTAGCCTTCTAGTCTGTAATGGAAATTGTATATTTTGATAGAAGTTTTTTCTCTATTGGTTAAATTAGCATTACTTAAAATTTGTTTCTTTAGAAATAAATACAGGTTATAAATGTGTGTATATTTAGAGGTTATAAGGCTTTCTAAGCCATCTTTGCTTCTGATTTTTCACTGCTCTATAATTACTTTTACTGAAAATACTGTGTTATGAGTGATATTAAATTTTAGATGCTGGAACTTCAAAAACCATGCAAAGGGATGTGACTATTTTGAATGAATCAAATTCTTAATGTGTATGTATGTCCAAACTTTTTATTTAAAAAGAAGTAATGAAAAACCAAGAACAGTTTTTCGGCTTTGGTTGAACTTTTCAAAACTTCTTTACTTTTAAGCGAATACAATTAATGAATGTGCATTCTTCTCATTGACTTTGATGATTTTAAATCTTAAAATGATCTGTTTCTATGGGGGATATCTTTCCACTTGAAAAATCTCAAAACAGATTAAAAACATAATAGGCTGTAGTAATTTTTATTTTGATATCTGGAATATGATTTGGGAGAAATGTATTAGCCCTATTAGAGTATAACTTTTAACTTCTTTATCTTTTCTCGTAAGTCCTCCTTTAATTCTTTTATGATATAGGATTTTGAGTCTTGTGTTTCTAGGTATGTATGTTTTTTACTTCTTATCTTCCATTATCCCTAAATATTGGTAAATTCCCAGGCACCAAAGAACACATTTGCTTAAGTGTCTGAACAGAAACAAGAGAAGAACATTAGTATTTTTATGTGTGTATTCAATATGGTATATAATATAAAACCTATATTTTAACTTAGTAAAATATTTTACTATTTCTCTACTTTAAACAAATGTTGCAGCCAAGATATAAATGACCATTTTCCTTGAGTTTTGATTCCATCTTCTATTTTTTAAAAACTATTGGGAACAGTTGCTCCCCAAAATTGTTTTTGTCATTAGAATTGTTGATCACCATTTTATGTTATGTCATTTTTCCCCCCAGTGATTCTCTTAGGTTAACATATTTTTTTTATAAACATATAGCTCTTTCTTATCTACTAAGCTAATACCACGTAGCCTCTTTTTGAAATTTAATGCTATCATAAAAATGAGAAGCAATTATTATTTATTTTTTAAGAAACCACAGAAGTTCATACCAATAATAAATAGAAAATCTTTTTACTCAGATGGAATTCACAAGGCTTTGCACGAAAAAAAAAAGCAGTGTTTTAAATTTTTAGACTTCAGTATATTTATAAGGTTTGAACAGATTCTAGCCTCATCTTCCCAGCTTCTCTGCTTCCCCTCTACATGAAGATAAAAGAAAAGTCAATTTGTTGGTATTAGAGTTTCTCAACATATGAGTTTGTTCTCAAAATAAATTGTGTGTTATGTAAACTTTCTCTATGAAATAGTCAAGGACTAGAATTTGTAATATTTTAATGTAAGATTACTTGTTAAGACTACTGCAAGTGGACATGAGCTACCTTTCCATAAAGATTTTTGGTATTTATATGTGAAATTTACTTGATAACAAAATATGGTTAAAATTTACTTTGAACAAGCTTTATTTTTCTATTTTGAATTTGCCTTATGTGTATTCAAAGGCTTCTGGAAATACTATGTGAAACGTTCAGAAAAGTGCAAATATGCTATATCATGTATTTTAAAATCAAACCATATAACTAACTGGGTTCTTTTAAAAAATTTTTCATCAGTTTGATCCCTTAATTAGGTGCATGTAATTAATTTTATAATGATTAATTATTTTTAAAAAAATCCTTCACAAAACAAAAAGTCTTAGCCAATCACTTTTTGTTCTTCACTGACAGTCCTATAGCAGCACCTAAGACAGTGCCTTGAATAGTAGGCACTGGGTAAATACTTACGTGCATGAATGAATGATGTGCTTTCAGTGTAACTGGTTTATTACAAAGATGGCTTAACTATACTTGTTCTTGGAGTTTGAGAATACAGAACTACAGGGAATGAAGAGGCATAGATAATTTAAGGGAAATGAAGTGCACATTATAAACTCACCTTACCCATAAATAACTGTTAACTGAAGACGCCCTTGTGTGCTTTACCTTTAAAGAAAGGCTTTAGTTCTTTACTCCTTGGATCCTTCTGAGTAAAATAACAAAAGAAGCTTGTCAGTTTCAATCAGTAGTTGTCAACCCTGAGTGCACACAAATCATTTGGGAAGTTTTGAAAAATATCTGTGGCTAAATATCTCATTTAATTTGTCTGGGATAAGACTGGTCATCAATATTTTTCAAAAGTTCTCTGGGTAATTTTAATGTGTAGGAAGGAGAGAGAATCACAGATTTCATCCTGAAAACAATTACCACTATTAAGTAATTGTGTTTCTTCTTCCTCCTGTTTTGTGTGTGTGAGACCACCCTTTGCACTAGACCATCTCTATTGGTGATATTGGTCTATATTCCCAAATGACAAATTCAAGTCTTATTTATTTAATATAGAAGGAGTATTTTGCTGTTTAATATTTAAACAATGTTTAATATATTTCATTATTATCTAGTATTATAGCTTATGGTTTGTTCCCATGTGTCTGTGTCCTTTACTAACTCTGTTTTTAGCAGCAGCACAGTAGAACTCCATACAGGAATAATTTATAATGAGGAAAGTCTACATTTTTATGGTAGAAAGAAGTATTTCTTATCTGCCATGCAAAGTGAGATAGAGTTTGATTATGAAAAGAGACTTTTTAATTGGTCTATACAGAAAAGTAAATTACTTAAATAAGATTCACGATCTAATAAACATTGAAGGGAATATTTTTCCTAAATAAAAATTTTGTGACTACTAACAAAATTAAAGTGATGACAGTGTTCTTTCTTGGAGGGTGGGAGGGGGAGTATTTGTTGAATGAATGTAGTATATAAAATTCTTTGAGACTTACTAGTATATTTTATGATATTACAAATATAATTGCAAAAGCTGGTCAAAATTAATGGCTAGGGAAGCGCTTCTCCACTGATCTGCACCTTCAGAGCTTAACTTTGTGTTTTGAAATTACTTGCTTAAATATAAAATTATAACTAGGGAAGCTTTTGAGTTTTTGTCTCTAATTTTTCAGAAAAAATTATTAAAAGCTTTCATATACATGTAACATGCGTGTGAGCACACACACACACACACACACACACACAGGATTCTTAATAAATTGTTAGTCCATCTGGTTAAAATTCATTTAGACTGCTAAGGGGAAATAATTTGCAGTTTAAGAGCTGTAAAAATTTCTCCATCAAAAGGTTAGTGACAGCTATTTTTTTAAAAAAAACTGTAATATCTGTAATATCAGTTTAATGTAGAGAATTATTCTTCAGAAAGATCAAAGCTATATGCCCTACTGAACTTAGATGGATTATGGTCAGATTCCTGTTATTATTGTAAAAGTTTTAAGAGTGTATCCTGATGTGTTACTTTTACAGTTTGAGCATCTTGAGTTTAACATTTTAATTTTCAATGCAAACTGTTCTCCCATATAATCAAATCATTAACAACATCATTGTATTGATGATGCCGATAATAATGTGTGGATCTTCTGCAGCAGAATTTCTTTAATGAAGAACTTAATGGACTATATTGAAATTTCATTTCATTCATAAGTGCTCACTTAAATACATATTTTATTCCTTTGATCATCTGTTTTTGGGTTAATGTCCACATAACTAAAATAGAACTTAAGTTGTAAATGCTGTTGAATTTATTTTTTAGGCTCAAAGGTGCTAGTATATAACAGCACGTTGCCAAATCAGCTTTTTTCTCTTTTTCTGAAACACTTTCCTATTTTGATTGTGTGATCAGCACTTATGGTGAGTTGGGAGACTTTTTCTGTCATAGTTTTTTTAAATGGCAACAGAATACATTATAAAACAGCTCTCAGTCTAATAATTACTTGTCTGTCCTTTGGCATAGAATGTATAGTTGATAATTCACCATCAAGAGAATGGTAACCTTTATGAAATAAATAATATAAATCATTCTGAAACTACTGTGCAGTAGAAGATACCTGAGAGATTCTGTTGTTATATTTGAATATTTGATTGGATTTTGCTTCATTTGCCAACAATTTTATTAATACATGTTTGTAGTATATAATAATCATTCTTTTTGGGGAGTTGGTACATGTATATAACACATTGTAATTGTCTTTTCATGCATTTCTCCTCCTCCCATCTGTTGGTCTGTCCTTTACCCTTTTGCAAACAAATTGCAACTGGGAATACATTAGATCACAGTTGTGATAAAACATGATTTTCTTACAGAACTGCCTTCATAGAGATCAGAATGTTTAAGCTAATGATCTTTGTTTCTCTTAAGTAAATAATCCAAACATTCTTTAAAATGGAATTGCTTGAAAGTGTGAAGTGTGCATATAATAGTTGAGGGAGATCAAGTGAGCTTGTTCCTGGGTCTTTCAGTTTAAGCACAATTGAACAACACTAATGTTTATGAGATTTTTGTATAAAATAGTTAAAATATTTGTATTATGTAATGTATTTTTATTCCATAATGCAATAGTCAACACAAAAAGAAGCTTAAAGTCACTGATGAAATTAAGCATTAAAGTAGTTAAAGCAAGTTGATGTAAAAATTTGAGGGAGAAGAAATTACATGAGAACGCCAACTTAATGGAAAAAAATACGGTAGGATTTGTACTAGTTTGTACACTTGCTTGGGGTGGTCATAAATTTAAGCAAAGCTAGGCAAACCTGTGATGGTTTTTCTCCAGTGGAATTGAGCTGCTGGTTACAGGTGCAGGGAATTGTGGTTAGATTTGTTTCCCCCTCCTCATTTTTTGTTTGTTTGTTTATTTTGTTTTTAATGGTGGGTAGGGAGCTGAAAGTAGAAGCAGACTAGGGAATTCAAAACCTTTGAAAGGTGATTTGTAGTGCTTGGAAGTGGAAATGTAAACTGTTGGAGGAAATAAGTGAAAAGGGGCACTGTCCTATGATCTGAAAACTTCAGTGATGTCAGCCTGAAAGAAAAGAGATGGTGAAGAGGTGTCATAGATGTGGCAAATTCCCACTCTGCTCCCATGCCAGGTCAGAGAGGCTCATCCCGCTTACCTCTTTCTCCTTTGACTACTTCCTGTGCCTCCTCCAACCACAGCCTCTCCCTCGCCTTTCCCAGAGGCTTCTTCCACTGCAATTGGCTCAGCTTCTCCTTCCCAGAGCCTCCCTCTCAGCTTTCTGTCCCTTCTAGTTAGTTCCCTGTGGAACCCTCTGCTGCTGTCCCAGGCCCTGAGCCTGCTTATTGCAGCCTGGTAACCTGGTATAACACCTGGCACTGCCATAGAGGCCAATGTCTTGCCCAGTCTTTGCTCTTGCACACAGTGGAACCACAGCCTGTAACCAGAAGCCCACTGAGCAGAGAGCCCAAGTCCATCCCACACAAAGACAATGTTGAACTGCACTGTTTGCTGCCCCCACCCTCCCTTCTGCCATTGCCACCCTACACCACCTGCAGCTACCACTGTGGCCTTTCTTCCTCCTCCCCTTCCTGATTAATACAGACCCCACCCCCACAGGTAACAGTGCTGGGCATGCGGATCCCAACCTTGACCTTGGCTATGTGTGCCCCCCAAGAGCCCTACCGTGGTTCCTGCTTTCTCCCTCCTGCCTTATTCCACGGCCTCCAAAGCTGAGTGGGCAGAGGCACCAAGCTGGGCTACCCACTCTAGGTGACCTGACCAAATGCCTACACTTCATGT